GGAGGGTCGCAGCCCGCTCCCGGCCTGCGCACATGCCCAGCTTTCCCGTTGGATTCCCCGCCCATTAGTTGTTTCCCTCTCTCCCTAGAATCAATAAAAAATAATAAAAAAATAAAATTAGAATTAGATCATTTAAAAAATTGAAAAGAGAAAGAAACATCTTTTCTGCTGTTTATTATAATGAAAGAATTTTTAACCAGTTTGGGTCACCTACGTTTTTGTTCAATGCAAACGATTTTTAAATGATTTTATTTAAAATAAGACGACAGGGCAAAGTGTGAGAAGAACATACTTCTGAGCAAGACAGGCAGAAAACGAGCCGCCATACAGAGGCCAGCAGAGAAAACGATGGCCTCGGAGCAATTCAGCAAGCCAGGGTATCGAACAAGAGGAAAGTAATTATTCACACGTAGGACATAGTCTTTTTAAAAAGCATTTCTTTACGATTTCTCATCAGAAACTCTACAGGCCAGAAGGGGATGGCATGAAGTACTCAAGGTAACGCAAAACAAGGAACTGAAACCAAGACTCCTCTATCCAGCAAGGCCTTCATTCAAAATAGGTGGGGAAATAAAGACCTTCCCAGACAAAAAGGGCTAAAGGAGTTTATCACCAGCAACCAGCACTGCAGGAAATGTTAAAGGGACCGCTGCAATACGAAGTAGAAACAGAGAGAGAAACATAAGCATAAGGAAATAAAATGCCAATAGATAAGGACCTATCAATAATAACCTTACATATAAATGCATTAAATGCTCCAATCAAAGGCGTAGGGTAGCTGAATGGATAAGAGAACAAGACCCAAATACATGCTGTCTGCAAGAGACCCACCTCAGAACAAAAGACTCTGCAGGCTGGAAAAACACACAAACTTCTGGAGGCCTTTAAAGGAGATATCGTCAGCAATACAGTCATCGTAGGCACTTTAATGCCCCAATGACTTTACTGGATAGATCTTCCTGACAAAAAACAAGGAAACAGTGACTCTAAATGACACACTAGATCAGATGGATTTAATTGACATTTACAGAACATTTCACTCCAAAGCTGCAGAATATGCATTCTTCTCAGGTGCACATGGGACAAAGATAGACCACATGTTAGGACAGAAAACAAGTCTCTACAAGTTCAAGAAGACTGAAATCATATCAAGCATCTTCACGGACGTTTACACTGTGGAATACTATGCAGCTGTGAAAAAGAAGGACCCTTACCCTTTGGGACAGCATAGTGGGACCTGGAGACTATTATGCTGAGTGAAATAAGCCAGTGAGAGAAAGACAAGTATCACATGATATCACTCACCTGGAACGTAATGAGCAAAACAAACCAATGAACAAAATAGATCCAGAGAAACAGAAGCACAGGACAGACTAAGGAATCTCAGAGAGGAGCCACAGGTGGGTGGGTGGGGAGAGATTAACATAAGAATTTATGTGCATATGTGCATAACCCGCGGGACACAGACAATAGTAGAGTGAAAGCCTGGGGGGAGGGGTGCAGGAGGGAGAGGACCAATGGGGGGAAAAGGGGAACATCTGTAATACCTCCAACAATAAAAATAAATTTAAAAAAATAAAAAGATAAAATAAAAACATTTCTTTACTATTTTTTAGTATCTTGAAATCAATACATTAAAGCATTGCTCAAAACAGATTGTCACTAGTTTCCTATTAGTCAACTGACCCTTTTCTGAAAACAATTAAAACTAAAAATTAAAAAAATAGAAAAATAACAGAAACCAGGATAAAGGACACAGACACCACTCTGTGTCTCACCCCACCCACCAGGGTTGGAAAAAGTGGTTTATAGATAGGCTGAGGGTCTACACCGACCTTGGTGGGGTTTCTTTCCTTTTTTGTGTTCAATCCTCAACAGAGGATATTTTTTCCATTGATTTTCAGAAAAAGTGGAAAGGAAGGGGGGTAGGGAGGAGAGAGAGAAACATCGATGGGAGAGAGACAAGTGGATTGGTTGCCTCCCTCATGCACCTGGAGCGGGGCTGCGGATGGAACCTGCAAACCCAGGTACAGGCCCTTGACGGGGCATCCGAGCCAAAACCCACTTTAACCTCTGAGCCACACCCATCAGCCTGTACTTAGTGGCCCTCACTGAGGGGCAATTTTGCTTCCCTGGGGACATCTGACAATGTCTGGAGACATTTGGGGTTGTCACAGCTTGGAGGGTCTCCTGCCATCTAGTGGAGGGAGGCCAGAGATGATGCTAAACACCCCGCAATGCACGGGACGCTCCCACAGCACGGAATGCCCCAAATGTCAACACTGCCGACGTTGAAAATCCTGCCTTAGCCCAGCGCCCCTGGCTCAGTGGTTGAGGGTCGNACGGGACGCTCCCACAGCACGGAATGCCCCAAATGTCAACACTGCCGACGTTGAAAATCCTGCCTTAGCCCAGCGCCCGTGGCTCAGTGGTTGAGGGTCGACCCATGAACCAGGAGGTCACGGTTCGGTTCCCAGTCAGGGCACATGCCAGGTTGCACTAGATCCCCAGTAGGGGGCGTGCAGGAGGCAGCCCATCGAAAATTCTATCATACTGACGTTTCTATCTCTCCCTCTCCCTTCCTCTCTGAAATCAATAAAAACACTTAAAAAAAAAAAAAAGAAAGAAAAGAAAATCCTGCCTTAGATACACTCCATTGTCCCCATCTGGTAGGTGACCGCTGTGAGAAAATCCAGTCCAACTCATAGGCTGCATTCAGTGTGTGCGCTCAGGTGACC